AAGTTTGGAGATGACATCAAGTCAGGCAGGAGTGTTGATCTGCTCGAGGGTAGGAAGGCCCTACAGAGGGATCTGGACAGGCTGCATCGATGGGCCTCCAATGGTAGGACACAAGGCCAAGTGCCGGGTGCTACACTTGGGTCACAACAACCCCATGTAGCACTACAGGCTTGGGGAGGAGTGGCTGGAAAGCTACCCCACAGAAAAGGACGCAGAAGTGTTGGTCGACAGCCAACTGAATATGAGCCAGTAGTGTACCCAGGTGGCCAAGAAGGCCAACAACTTCCTGGTTTGTATCAGAAACAGTGCCTCCAGCAGGGCTAGGGAAGTGATTGTCTTCTGTACTTGGCACTGGTGAGGCCCAACCTTGGATATGTGGTCAGTTTTGGGCCCCTCACTACAAGAAAGTTGTTGAGGTGCTGGAGCGTGTCCAAAGAAGAGAACAAAGCTGGTGAAGAGTCTAGGGCACAAGTCCTATGAGGAGCAGCTGAGGGAACTGCAGTTGTTTAGCCTGGAGAAAAGGAGGCTGAGTGGAGACCTTATTGTCCTCTACAACTACCTGAAAGGAGGTTGTGATGAGGTGAAGGTTGGTCTCTTCTCCCAAGTAACAAGCAAAAGGACAAGAGGAAATGGACTCAAGTTGCACCAGAGAAGCCTTAGATTGGATATTAGGAAAAAATTCTTCACCAAAAGAGTTGTCAAGCATTGGAACAGGCTGTCCAGGGAAGTGGTTGAGTCACCATCCCTGGAGGTATTTAAAAGACAGGTAGATGTGGCACCTAGGGACATGGTCTAGTGGGATTTGGCAGTGCTAAGTTAATGGTTGGACTCGATGACCTTAAAGCCCCCTTCCAAAGAAGACAATTCTATGATTCTATGATTCTGTAATAGATGCATACTCAACACTGGATGTGCAATCACTGCAACCTAGCTCCCTGATTTAGATAGGGGCTGCAATGGTCCTTAGTAAGGGCTTGGATGCTCGGTTGGGAGCATGCATGTACCAACACAACAAAATAGAAGTCGGATCATGCTCCCTGATCTGGGGTGAGTGGATCTGCACACCAAGACCTTGGCTTGATTTATCTCTGCTAAGCAGAACTGCTCAGGGAAGTACCTGGGTTTGACACCCTTAAAACTTCTGTCACTGAGGGTCAGAACCTTGGGATCCTTGAACACATGTCCAGCTGATCAGGCTTTATGTTTTTAAGCAAAAATATTTTCTTCCTAAACATCATTTGCATTGGTTGGTGTCCCTGTGTTTTCATCATGGAAATAATGAAAGCATACAAGACTTCAAGATCTTTAGTCCAGCCAGCATTGGTTTGGCATTCAGAAGATATATAAGTGCTGTGGACAACTGGGCTGGGTAACATGTCTATACCTGAATTTGCCTGTGTGGAAAGTGGAGGAAAAGGTACTGACTATCCTAAAGTGGTTCTAAGATTTACCATCAAAAAATGTCGCACAGGACCTAGGCATTTTTATTACCGTTATTATTTGAAATTATGCAGCAGTAACAGGAAAGCAAAATCATCAATGACAACTGAGCAGAGCTTTAGTTAGGAAATGGTGTGATGATCCAGGTTGACATTCTTGTTGCTTCATAAGCTCATTTGTTACCTATGTTATTTGTTGTAAGAACCAAAACACAGTGGGAAAGGAGTTTGCAGCAATCAAACATAAAGACAAAGGCTGCGTGTGAACATCATGAATGTTTAGGAAAGCTGACAGAAGAAGGAGCAGAGAAGCTCCAGGCTGTTGAGATTCTGAGAAAGGGACCATCAGGAAACACTCTGCAAGCAAACTATGAGCGCTTGAAAACACCAAGCTCTGCATATTCATTTTCATGTAGGGTTGGTCACCAAAACTTTAACAGATAGGGTCCACTTTCTCAGTCAGATTACAGGTTGGACTCCTCTGAGCCCATGTGTCCCAGCCACCGGGAGCTTTGGGAGATCCTGGCAAAGACTTGACTCTGCTGAGGCACTGCAAGCCTCCTCACAGGGATTTGTAGATGCAACTCCTTTTTCATCCAGAGTAGCGCTGGATAGACTTTTTTTGTAAAATGTTTTGAAGTGTAGCTATACCAGACCCTTGTGTCTGACAATTATGTTTGTTTAAGCAAGACCTCTGAGTTTGTAACAATGGAATTATCTATTTTTCAGGACAATTAACACAATGTTTTTGTACGAGCTGAAGGTCAGAGGATTAATGTGGTTTTATCTACAATGCATTTTTAAAAGCTAATTAAGAATCATTCAGTTCACTCTGTGCTAAAGACTGAGAACATTTCACATTAGATGACTCTTGCTCCTCTGCAGCAGCAGAAAGAGAGAGAGAGAGAGGAATGGAGGAAGAGAGGAACAGAGAAAGAGTGAGCTGGCATGCAAATAAACAAATACATCACAGGGATGGAGTTAATGAAGAGCCATAAGAAAACTCCATTCTGTTAACACTAAAGATAAAATTGTCTCCTGGACAAAAGGGCTAATCTAAAATATTAATCAGCAAAAATATTCAGTACTTGCAATCACAAGCGTTCCTTGTTAGAGGAAGAGAGATGGAGAGGAACAGAGGGAAGTGCTACCCTCAGAGCATTAGTGTAGAGATGTTTTTGTCACCTAGTGCTTACGGAGCATCTCCTCCTCTCTCTCTCTCTCCTATGCCTGACAGCCTGTACACACCACCATTCCTCGGTGGGGAAAGCCTGGTTAGTGGGCCTCCTGTCAGAGGTGAGTCTTCTGGGAGGAGGTACGCGAGGGAGAGGAGCAGAGGTGGGAGTGGGGTGCTGGGCAGCCGGCTGCTGGCAGAAGTAGCTGCCTGGGTGGGATGGGCGCAGGTGGCGGTGAGGAGGCAGCGTCCCCCACACGCACCTCGGCTTCAGCGACTGCAAAGGTTGGGGGAAGCAAAATGAGACACAAAATCAGAGGCATCCAGCGGTAACGCGAAGGATTTGAGAAGCAGGGCGATGAATTTATTTTTAATGCACTAGCCTCTGCCTAGCCTTTTAATGGGAAAAGCTAAGAAAATTGGAAGCTGTTCCTACGCTCTTGCTTACGGATGCTTATCGACGCTGCTGATTCAAGCGCTCTGAGGTTCATTTGCTGTGTCTGCCCAAAGCATGTAAATACTATCAGACATTGAGGTGCCTCATTTCAAATCTGGGCTATGCACTACTATTCTGTTGATCAAATGTGGCAATTATTTCAGGCTTAAAACCTTTTAGGGATAACAATAGGTGCTGCCAATCAAAGCTAGAAAGTACACATGCATTCAAAGAGCAAGCTGAATGAGGAATAACAGCAACATGTGTAGCTGGAATATATTATGGATTACCATCCTCTTACACAAAGGCTAGTAAACTCTTCAAAATGCAGCAACCTACAGAGCTAATAAAAGGGACAGAAATGTGCGGATGTCTCGGTTTGTCTAATTTGTGTCTTTCTAGCATTGGTAGGATGACTCACTGGATTTAGCAACAGCTTGTGAAGATGAACATATTAATAACTTTATGCTGCATCTCTGCCATAAAATGTAATCTTTTACAATTCTGTATTCTCAAGTGAAATACAAACTTAGAACCAGAATAAAATTAGAGAAGATATTTGAATTTTCAGCTTATATTCTTTTTAGATCTGTGTTTATACATTTAAATATGCAACTTAACTTGGAGAAGAGTATTCCCTTTCATCCCCATCCCTTTGCCAGTGTGCCACTCCCTACCATAAAAGACTGGAGCATATTTAAACATGGGGCTACCAGGATAGTACTCCAAGATATTCTGTGTCATTCTGTGTATTTTTATATTGTACCAAACATAAATTAACATTTTTCTCCCTATCCATAGACACTTGAATAGGAAAGCTTATGTAGATCATGTACAACTCAATGGCAAAGAAGCCAGTTGCATATTGAAATTTGCATATGTAATCCACAATGTTAGTAAATAGTGGTATATTTATCCTCTTTGCTTTTGATAAAATTCAACAGATTTGAATAATTAGATAACAAAGTACAAGGCTGGCCTTAAGGACATAGTAACTATAGTCCTGAATCTTTCAATCCTATTTTAAATCTTTTTCTACGGTTTTAGGCATTACTCTAGTCTACAGAAAGGTTCATCTGAGTACTTGATGGCTTCTAGAATGTTATACACAGTGTTTGACAAAGCAACAAGTAGAACCAGTGTTTCTAGGAACTGAGATGATGACCAAACCATTAGACTGACCATTTTGTTTCTCCTTGATTTTAATGAGACCTGATTTTAATGAGACAGTTTCACAGACTGTGTTAACTTACTGGAGATATGTTTGCATTTTTGCATTAAACATACTTGCAAATTTACTGAAATAACAGGAAAGAAAAGTTACAACAATTTCAGTGTAGACAAGACCCAAATGTTAATTTCTAATCTTATTGAAAAATTTATCTTTTTATGCTAAATAGCATGAAACACAATTGATTAGGTTAAGGACATCTACTAACTTTATTTTTAACTTTTTCAAAAATTATTTTCTGGATGTGGATAAAGCCTCAGAAGAATAACTATTTTGTACAACATTAAGTGGTTTGATATGTTGATGTTTCTATTTAGTACTTAAAATGAGCTGAATTTGTGAAATAATTCATGTAAAAATCTATGCACTCCATTCAGTCTTTCCATGCCACGCACCCTTTGAAACTATTTATGCTCTTGATTGATTTACTGTATAAGAGAAAGCTGTGTTTCTAATGTTTGTGTAAAAATATGCATATGCATAAATATAATATGCATAAAATACTATAAATATATAATATAATGGAAACACATTACACACACATATAAAAGAAATATACTGTGAGCTCACCCTCTCTCTCTCTCTCTCACTCTCTCTCTCTCTGATTCTTAAGTGATCATGAATTACACACACCGCTATCTCAAATGCTTAAAACCTGAAAGTGCTTACACTAAATAGCCAGATATCTACTGCAGAGAAAGACAGACTTCAATTTCTTACCTGCTTTTTTAATTTCAGGGACAGCTGTCTTCTCATGAGCTTTCTCTTTTTTTTCTTCTTTTTCTAAGATTTAATTAAAGAAAGTTATTTGATATGCTAGAACTCTGAATCATACACTCAAATATGCAGTCAGCCAAGTCCTGGTGGACACGCGCTGAAAAAAATGTGACTTATTTGGGAGTTTAGTTCAGATTATTCCTTTATAGCACTTGCACCCAACTAGCCACAGAGCAATCAGCTGAAAATGAAAATTAATCAGTATGCATCGACTATGGATGATTTGGACCCTTAATAATTCATCAAAGGCTAGGCAAAAATCATCAGTGCATGAACGTGGTACCTTTTAGCTTAAGCTCCAGTAGCAATGAGATCATTAAAAAATAATGAATGACATAAATATTTTCCCATGAAAGGAAGACCTTAGTGGATTTTAGATGCTTCCTGGGAATGAATGATCCAATATGTTATTTAGATGGATATCAAGGCTTTGCAGTTTGGTCACTGCAAGTTTTGGTTGTGTTTCCATAAAATAAAAAAATAAATCTACTCCACCTTCAGAAAGTGGTGTACCATGGACTGAGTTTTGTGTATGGCACCATCACTATGTCCTGCTATATATAGGGACTCCGTTAAATTGTTTAACAAGACCATACATAGCCACCAAACAGGACTTTTTATTTGTCAGAAAAAGAGTTTAGAAAATATCAGACACTGAACACATCAGACATCAAATACTGAAGAAGCAGTAACATGTAAAGAGTGACTAAGCAACTAAGAGAAGGACAGTACAGAGCCAGAAGCATAGGATTGACCAAACAAAAAGCAACGGGATTTGAGCCAGCACTGGGAGTAAAAGCTGAATGAGGCCAGTAAGAAACGTTCCTGAACTATACCTTTCTTCTTAGTTTCAGTCGTAGCCCTCTTTACATCAGTCTTTTTCTTTTCCTCTTTTCTCTCTAAAAAAGAAAACAGAAGTTCAGCTGATTACTTTCACATACATATGTATATATATACACACACCCGTATGTATGTATGTATGTTTGGGATGGGAATCCTTGACTAACTGCAATAGGTTCTAGGTTTGATAAGCTGATCACTTATTCAGGAGTTTACTATCCGCAGCTCAGAAATACCGCTTAATACTCAGAGTGAATGTGGTGCTGAGGATAGAACTGGAACCAGTATGTACACCGGATAATTACTTAAATAAGTACTAATTCAAGAAATTATGCCCATTAACCTGGTGTAACTAAGAGTTTATTGTGCTGATTCAGTAGCCATGCACCTGTTCTGCTTCTTTTATAAAATTTGACTGAATGGCAGCAAAACTTGCAAGTGGTACTTGGAAATAAGTGCAGAATACCATGAAAAGCCTGTGTATATAATATATCTTTATAATACCTTTTATGAATTGAACATTTGAAACTGTCATTACGGGACTTCTGTTATTTATGGAGAATTGCAGCTAAAGCATCATCTACAAAAGAACATTTCTTGTTCTTTTAAAAGCATCTGCCTCTATTTTGTCAATTAATTGGACAACAGTAGAAATAAAGATTTTTTTCCTTATTTTACAAAAAGCTGCAACAATTTAATTACTTATTCCATGAATGTTATTAATTAGAAAATTGAGAGTTCAGTAGAGGAAATGAGGAAGCTATAATTCATATTTTTCCTCAGGGAAATGAATCCCCATTTAATGGGGAAGAATACAAAAGTACAAGAGTAGCTAATCTAAATGTTTTTTTTTTTTAACTTCTCATCCACAAAAAGCCAAATTTGTTACCTTCTGTTTGTGCTGTATGGCTTTGTGTGTTGATGTAGTTAGTGGAACTATAGTTTTCTTTTTGTGATGTTTTACTGTTATGAATGTGGATAAGATACCGAGCTTTATTACCGTACAAAATAGCACAAACACAGGACAATAAGCCTTTAAGCAAGAGTCTTTTCTTTACTTGAAAAATATTTAAGGTATAGGAATATTTTCTGAAGCCAGCAGATCCAAGAAGCAAATATGCTATTATCCCTTGCATAAATTAACATGAAGATAAAGGAAAAACGAATAAACTTACTTTTCACTTCTTTAGCTATGACAATAGATTTTTCTTCTGCATGAACAAATATATACAAACAGGCAATGAAAAAAATTAATTGAAATACTGCACAGCATGCTTCCTAAACCAAAGCAAAATATGTGTATGTTTGATAGAAAAATTGCTATTTTCATAAAGTACATGAATTTCACAGTCGGTCCATGGTGGTTTCATAAATAAAGTTATTTTACCTATCGTGGAGGAATATTTACCAATATTCAGGGTCTGCCCAAACCATACTTCTGCTGATTTTCTGACAATAGTGTTTAACATTAAGCATCATCTTGACATGTTCCAGCACTTTCTTGTTTTAAACAAATTTGTTCAACGCATTTCCCTTGTTACTGTCTTGACAAAATGAAGCAGAAAATCTTTGCATACATTTTACAGAATGTTTCTCCCAGTGTTTTGTGTTTAATTCTCCCTGATGAAACCTTGAGTGTACTGGACTTCGAGATACAAATTCTTTTGTGTCGTGAGCGTGCTTTATGATACTCAGGTTTCTTAAGCACGTATAGAGCATCAGAGTAGTGCTCATCCTCCACAAGCTTGTTTGGAGCTTCATTTTCTCGTATATTTTAATACTCTTGTTATTGTCTATCTCTACGCTTCCCAGGATTCTCTCTCTCTCTCTTTGACGTTCTGTTCCAGAGACTCATGCTAGGGACCATGGCTGCCTCCTCAAAACAGAAGACTCTTCAGCCTCAGATTACGCACAAGCTGTTCCGCAGCTCCACTTCCCTGTGCCACCTATGACTTTTCAGTGTTTCATTTCCAAAGGCAATGTACAACTCTTCTAATTTCAAAAATGTGGTTTGATTGTTTGCTTATTCTGCCTGATTTAACCAAAACTGTTAAATACCTCAAGCCTATCAGTTACTGTCAGAAAAAAGCTTCCTTCTAACCGACTGACTGACTTCCACTAGCCTCTCTCTGCTCTTAGTAACTAGAGACTAAAGTGCTGGTGGTGCTTCTGTGAATTCCATTTTTTTCTGAGTGCTTCAGTTATGGTGGAGCTGTTAACAGCTCTGCTTTTCCAGTTAGATTAAGTTCTTTGCTTCTTTATACTTCTGGTGCTAGATGATGCACAGGAATAATCTGTAAGCCCAAGGTTATAGAATCATAGAATGGTTAGGTTGGAAGGGACTTTGAAGATCATGCAGTTCCAACCCCCCTGCCATGGGCAGGGGCACCTTCCACTAGACCAGGTTGCTCAAAGTCCTATCCAATCTGGCCTTCAACACTTCAAGGGATAAGACCTCCACAACTTCCCTGGGCAACTTGTTCCTGTGTCTCACCACACTCATAGTGAAAAATTTCTTCCTAATATCTATTTTAAATCTACCCTTTTCCAGTTTGAAGCCATTCCCCCTCATCCTATTACTACATGCCCTTGTGAAATGTCCTACTCCAGATTTCTTGTAGGCCCCCTTCAGATACTGCAAGGCCACTATAAGCTCTCCCCAGTGCCTTCTCTTCTCCAGGTTGAATACCTCCACCTCTCCCAGCCTGTCTTCATAGGATAGTGGCCCCAGCCTTCTGATCATCTTCGTGGCCCTCCTTTAGACCTGGTCTGACAGGTCCATGTCCTTCTTATGTTGGGGGCTCCAGAGCTGGCGCAACATTCCAGGTGTGGTCTCACAAGAGCGGAGTGGAGGGGCAGAATCACCTCCCTCAACCTGCTGCCCCCGTTTCTTTTGATGCAGCCCAGGATACTGTTGGCCTTCTGGGCTGGGAACACACATTGGTGGGTCATGTTGAGCTTCTTATCAGTCAACACCCCCAAGTCCCTCTCCTCCCAGCTGCTTTCAGTCCATTCTCTGCCGAGCCTGTATTTATGCTTGGGATTGCCCCAACCTAGTTGTAGGACCTTGCACTTGGCCTTTTTGAACTTCATGAGGTTTGCACACGCCCACCTCTCTAGCATTTCCAGGTCTCTCTGGATGGCATCCCTTCCCTCCAGTGTTCTGACCACTCCACACAGCTTGGTGTCATTGGCAAACTTGTTGAGGGTGCACTCAATCCCACTATCCATGTCACCAAAAAAGACATTAAATAGTACCAGTCGCAGTACCAACCCCTGAGGAACACCACTTGCCACTGCTCACCACTTGTACATGGAGCCATTGACCATAACTCTTTGAGTGCAGCCATCCAGTCAATTCCTTATCCACTGAGTGGTCCATCCATCAAATCCATGTCTCTCCAATTTAGAGACCAGGATGTTGTGTGGGACAGTGTCAAATGCTTTGCACAAATTCTTTCCTTATCTACCAGTGCTGTAACACCATCGTAGAAGGCCACCAAATTTGTCAGGCACAATTTGCCCTTAGTGAAGCCATGTTGCCTGCCACCAACTACCTCCTTATTTTCCATGTGCCTTAGCAGAGCTTCCAGGAGGATCTGTTCCATGATCTTGTCAGGCACAGAGATAAGACTGACCAGCCAGTAGTTCCCTGGTCTTCCTTTCAACCAACAAGATTCTCTTTAATCAGACACCATTTCTGCCTTTGAATTTATAGCACTTTGCATGCTTCTCTGGCCCAGGTTCAGAACCATACGTATCTTGAGAACCATGAGCTGAGACACGAAGCTTTGAGAAGTGGAGCTCTGTATGGAGGATGTACAGGAAGTAGCAGGAATTTTTGTGGCAAATAACCTAAAGCACAAGGAGACTACTTCCCTGGCTGCAGAGTTTTTATTGCTAAGTTATTCCACAAGTTAATTCCACTGACATAATTTTCTTCCATCAGGCTCTCAAGTTGCAATACTCAGAGTGTCCAGGGAGTCTAGAGACATCTATATTCGTTATGAGTTTTCTACAGGGTGATTACAGAGAGGTATTAAAGCAATGTGTCCCCTAGTTCCCATTAGTGCTACCCAATGCAAGATATGCACTCTTGGTCAAGTTTGATAAAAACAGTCACAGGGCTTCCATTCACATCTCAGTTGTGCCTGTCCCCATTGATGTTCCTCACAGCTACTACTGACAAAAGTTTATGTAAAGGAAAACGATGGAGTTGGTAAATGGATATTGTAGAAAGAGCTATTTCTGATTTAAGGAAGCAATCCCATTTCTTGAATAAATTTATTTCCTCTCAATTTGAGTAGCTCACATTTAGATTGTTGCATATTAAGTGTATATTGAACACCAGCAAAACCTGTCATTTCTGAAGCACTAAATGCAGTGGGTTTTCTCCAGATATGTACACAGCTGAATTAAGAGGCAGAGCAAATAATTAAATAGGAATTGACACAAGTCTTTTACACTGTAAAATATGAACCCCATCTGTTAGCTGAAAGTACTTACATTTTTTAGCTAAGAACAGTAACGGGACTACAAATGTCCTTGGATCAACTGCATAAAGAGGGATCATAATATGGGCAAACAGTAGGTTACACAAGGAAACACAAGGTGGTTTTGATTGATTCAGGGTTGGCTACAGTATGGAATTCAAGTGCAATTGACTATTAAAAAATCTATTGTTATTGTTACTATTTCGTGATAATGTAATTAATGCTATTGTTTCACTATGAGCACTAGTCCTAAACCACATTTTACGTACAGGGTGTAAGAGATAAGTGTACAAAAAGACCTCGCCTTCAAAAGCCTGCAATGCCTTTACAAGAATGAAAGAGGGATCTATGCCGATGGAAGAGTACAAGATGACAGAATCAGTCAGCAAGACAGCAATGGACGTTGCATTTAGTCAGATTTCTTCTGTAGACTCTATGCAGAAGTGCTTTATGTAGTACAAGGAGGAATCCAACAAGCATAAGTGTGGATTAAAGCAATGATGTGCTACTGAATGAGAAACTCAGGTAAAAAATTTTTCCTGAGGAAAAATATAGAAGCAGCATAG